GCAAATCGCGTTATTGTCCTTCCCCCTCCCCCCCTCTCGGTGTCCATCTCAGCAGGAAACAAATATTTGTGTTGAGCTGTGTCATCTCAGGGATCCTGTGCCTATGCTTGCGCCGTGTGCAAACTGCCAGGGAGGAATTGGGTTGTGTCCCTTTAAGAGAAAAAGAAAGCAGGAAGTCTTGGAGTAGAAAGTAAGTCTCAGCCTGAACTTAGTTCTGTCTCTGTCTATGCTGGGTCCCTGTGGCTGCTTTCAGGGGAAAGGGTTCCCCACACCATGGTGTGTCATCTCAGGGATCCTGTGCCTATGCTTGCGCCGTGTGCAAACTGCCAGGGAGGAATTGGGTTGTGTCCCTTTAAGAGAAAAAGAAAGCAGGAAGTCTTGGAGTAGAAAGTAAGTCTCAGCCTGAACTTAGTTCTGTCTCTGTCTATGCTGGGTCCCTGTGGCTGCTTTCAGGGGAAAGGGTTCCCCACACCATGGCTCCCAACCTGGGCACTTGAGGCTTTTCTCTGCATACATTTCTCCAGAGACGGCTGCTGTTTTGGGGTGAGTGGCCATTTCCATTCATGTTGCTAGTCTGCCCGCACATGGAAGCAGGTATGTAAATGCTAGGGAATGTTCCTCTCTTGGAGTCTCTGCTGGCTTTGCTCCACTGCCTTACGCATTGTTCCGGATGGTGTATGGAAACCCCCACGTGTGCAATCAGCGTTACGGAGAGTGGGGGTGGAAGAGGCGTGTGGTTTTGTAGCATGGTCGTCTGTGCTAGCAGCAGTACTGAAATGCCCGGTTCTCCTGGTGCATGCGGCACCTTGTGAAACCCAAAGATGATCATGGGCTGAGGATAGCTGTGGAAAGCCGCATGCAGGGGGGCAGGTGAAAGCAGGGGAGGCTAGTGGCCATGGCCCCATGATGAATCCATGTTGTTTGCTGGAATAGAGCAAGTGTTCTTGTCTGAGACAAAAATTCTTGGCTTTTAAATCCTCTGGTATGATCGAATCCACTATGCTACTCTGGGGAAAAACATTTCCTGGGCTCTTTTTGGCAATTGATCCCTTGAGGACATGACTGTGTTGATACGAGGGTTCACCGAGACACTTCCTCCTTTTCCGGGTGCTAATCTAAGGGAAGCTATCGCATTCGACCAAAGGAGGCACCAGGCATGTGTGTCGGCTCCCACGAGTGAGGGTCAGGGATCCCCTGCTTTGCAGGGAATCACATTTTAAAAATAGTGGATTTGGTTTGAGTCAGGTCCCTATCTCTGATCTTTTTTTGTGCTTGCTTTTTGCCTGGCATTTTACAGCACATCCCAGGTAGGGGTGTAAAATCCCCTTGAATCAGTTAACCGGTTACATGTTTTGTTTAACCAGAGAACCACTTAAACAGGGTGGGCAGTGGGCTGGCTGGGCCACCCACCAGTTAACCATTGACATCCCTAATGCAAGGAGAGTACAGGCCAGAGGGGGTGCGTCACAGGCATCCTCCATGCAGATCTGCAAGCTTGCTTTAGCATGGACTTACATTTTTGCTACTCCAGCTCTGGGCATCTCCTGAACATGGGGTATGTCTACACCAGAGCTGGAAGGTGCGGTTTCCAGCTGGAGAAGGCAGGCTGTGCACATGCATTGGCTAATCTGCTATCTGAGAGAGTTGGTCTGTTGGTGTCTCCATCTGTCGGTCTGTCTGTCCAAGAACTCCTCGTAAGCACTAAGAGCTAGGACCTGCAGCTTCCACGTATCATAACTTAAAGCAAGGGCAGGGCTTGGTTGTGTGAGGATAATGGGATGTGCCTGGATTGTTTCTCATAAAACTATTCAGAGAACAAAATCACTTGGCAGGTGGAAGGCGGCTGGAGGTACATGCCCCCTTCCATCGGGGACGGCCCCAGCCTTGAGCCTCCACCCCCTCAGGTGCCCTGTAGGTAGGGAGCAGGGGGTTGCAATTTTGGACAGGGACATTGTTGGCTGTTAATCTTCATCATGGAGAGAGGGGAAAGTGCACAGTTTGCAACATTCCTCACTCTGGCTGGGGGCAAATGAACCGGGCCCTTCCCTAGCCTTGTTATTCCTCGGGGCTGGTCATGTGACTTCCAAAGTGAGCTGTCCAGCCACCGGACCGGTCAGCTGCCTTGTGAAACTGGGAATGCAGCTGGATCCTGGGATGTGCATGGAAGCATGCTGGGGAAATAACTGGGACACGGTGCCCGCACACAACAGTGTAGCCTGTGTGGTGTTCCGGGACCAGGCGGAGGTGCCGCCATTCCGGGTGCATGAGAGAGAGAGAGAAGGCACTGAAAAGAATGTACCTCAGCCAACATTATCAGCACACACGGGGCCTGTATCAAAGGCCAACAGGAGTATGTTGCTGTGTACTCATCCCTAGAACAATGCAAGATGGGCTCAGGTGACACCACTGCGGATGTTTAAAACTCAGCAGTGTTTGGACCTACATTTTTGATCGGGTCTTTGTCGTGACGGCTTCAGGTGCAAACCTTGGCTCTGGATCCTAGTTGGGACGCTGAGCTCTCTCTCTGTGTCCCCTCCCTGCCCTAGTGCCACCCCACACCTGGCTCATGTCTGGGACGTGCCCTTGTGGAGCTCGGCACACGCCCATTTCTGAAATCCCCGTGAGTGTGAAGGCTCATGGGACTGAGATGCTGCTGCGGGTAGGTGAGATTGAAAGCGGAGTCCATGCAGCTGGGAATTTTCTTGCTCTCTGGGCAGGAAGCCGAATGCTTCCTCTTTAACCCGTGGCTGCGAAGTGGGTGTTGCAATCCTAGACGGTTCTGTTGCTGCAGATGGGAGGCGCCTCTTTCACCTTGTGGCCCTCGACGCTGAGAATTTTTCTTGCATCCGTATTTCATTCCAAGCTGGAGTGGCTTCTGCA